GATTTCTGGTGGTTTGACAACTTCACTGATTGGTTTATTATTTCTGCAGCTAACACAGAGTTCTGTAAAATGTCAAAGGAACATTTATAAAGTTGATCCAAAATCATTTATTTAAATGTCAGCATGATTTTAATTGACCTGTCTGTATGTGATGGTTCTCAGTTTGAACATGAAGGAATCACTGATCGTCCTTCTGATGTTTAATAATGATGATGATCGAGATTTTACCGCAATGGTGGTTTGTAGAAATGTGATGAATTAGTGTTGAGGATGCTGCAGTTATCTACAGCTGTGTGTACTGACGGCTGATCTGGACTGTTGGAGAACCTTCTCCATGTGACACAGTCATTGATGAAAACAGACATAATTGTTTTGAATTTTCATCAACTAAAACAATGAAGGATAAAATGTGACTAAAACTAATAAACGTTACAGACTCAAGACTCAGACTAAATCTAAATTAGCTGTCAGAATGAACAGCGCTACAGTGACTCAGGTTTAGGAAACAGAATCAAACATAAACACGTCGTTATAAACGTGACCAAAACAAAGCGTTGGCACATTTCTGTCTTGGTGCGTACTCACAGTTTGAGTCATGAGTCCACACAGAGTTTCAGTATCTGGCTCTTGGTGAGTTCCTCTGTCAGGCGTGGCTTTACTTAAGCTAAAGAGAGAGCTGGTTTTCTTCACTCACACTTCAGGTTAAATAAACCTTTCACATATTCAGAACCTGCTGCGTTTCTGTGCACACTGATTAGATCAACTGAGCCACCACGATGTGGAGCTGAACGTCAGCACAGAAGTCCCAATAAAGATTATTCAAACAAGACAACACAAGTTCATCCTTACAGAACTCTGACAGACAGACAGACAGACTGACAGAGAGGCAGCGTTCAGACTCCTCTGTTCAGTTACAGCAGGAAAAAGAGAGCATGGAGCTGTAAAATGAAATTACAGAGACAATATGTTCTGTCTGCTCTGCAGCCACCTTCACTTTTGTATCACAGCAATCTCAGTGTGTAAAATACCACCTCAGTAATACTGAGACAAGTCTCACTTTACTGGACGGCAGCCACGAGGGAAATCGCTCTGTGAAACTGCTTCAGCTGCAGTAATACAAAAGGCTTCAGCTTCACGTCCCCGGTGAACACATGAACCTCACATTAATTCTACACTCAACATGAAAATGACAGCAGGGAGATAAAAATCAGATGTAGTGTTGCTGTAACTTATCAGCTGTAGTTTCTGGCTGCAGACACTAAACACACACAGCTGGATGGAAAATATTTACACAAGTCACAGTGACACTCATGACGCGGTGACAACTGGACCTCTTCCACGGTCACGTTTGGCCACTGAGTCGAGTCATGCTGCACTGACTTGTGTTTCCATCGTCAGTTTAGACACGTCGTGCCACGCTGAGCTGCTCCAGAGATGGACCTTCTCCAGTGTAGGTCCTAAAGCCGGGCCACCCACCCTCGCGCAGGAAGTGATGACGTGCTGCCGACCACAGCCGACCCCCAACGACCCCCCTTCTGAAACTAGCTGTGTGTGTTGCAGACTCTCCTCCCCTCTGTCTGCAGGAGACCAGAGAGACAGGTGTCTTTAAAGTTCAGCTCTCAGTACGTCTGTAGCTTCTGACTGACGCTCTGTGGTTTGCATCCTGTTTTTACTGGTTCATGTTCGCTATCAGCAGAGATATTTAATGAAGGGAGATACCCAACTGTAGGCTTATCCAATGTTAAAAAAACGGTTACTCTTCCTGTCTCCTAAGTGGGCGTGGTTACCTCCAATCAGAGCCTGTTCTCCCTCAACCCCCCCCTCCTCCCCACCACCGTGTTGAACAGAGGCTCTGTGGATGTCTGTGTATGCGGATCGAGAAGCAGGAGGAATGAAAATACATTCTTCCTGTTATTGCAGCCTATTGTTGCACAAATCTTGGGCATTTTTTATTTATTACTAGCGGTAAATAACTGTTTGTAAGCTAACTGTGATTTTACCCCCTGTTTATCAAGATCACAAGATCTCGCGAGAACTTGTTTTCTGAGATGGACAGGGCTCAAACAAAGTTAACTTTCTCTTGATCTGTGCGGATGAAAAATGCAGCTTTAGTGTCAGAATGTTGGTAAGATGTGTGGCTTGTGGAAAATGAACCCAATATTTACTTTAGTGACTACAGGGCTAAAGAATTGACCATAAATTGTGATCACGTTCATTTTCCTCATTGACGACAATACATTCAGAGCTGCCGCAAGTCTCCTACGGGGGCGTGGCGCTGACGTCACTGAATCAGGAAGTGAGCTGAGTGGGGTATCTCGCTTCATCCAGTATCTCCGCTATCAGTGAAAAACTCAACATTTCCTTATTCTGCTGCTTCACGATAAAAGTTTTTACGTAACAAAATAACAGGAGACTTTTATTGTGACGAATCTACAGGAAGTGAAATGTGTTCATCACTGAATTAGCAAAACTCTGACAGCACCTGAGTCTAATAATACGGCAGGGAGGAAGAGTGAAATCAGAAACAGCTACAGTGAGGAGATGATGATGATGATGATGATGAAGAGCTGCAGACAAACAGCTCACCTCCAACAGGTAAACTTCTTTAACCCGCCCTGCTGTGTGATGGAAAAACACCTGCAGCAACAATAACAGGGACTTTAGCCGTGAATCAGCCCGCTGCTTTCATCAGGTAAAGACACACCTTCAGCAGGTAGACCTGTTGTCATGGAGATGCAGATCCCTGCTGGGCTGACGGCTCAAACCAAACCAAAGAAAACCGAGCCAAGCCAAGCCAAGCCAAGCCAAGCCAAGCCAGACCAGACCAGACCAAGCCAAACCAGACCAGACCAGACCAAGCCAAACCAAGCCAAGCCAAGCCAAGCCAAGCCAAGCCAGACCAGACCAGACCAGACCAGACCAGACCAGACCAAGCCAAACCAGACCAGACCAGATCAAGCCAGACCAGACCAAGCCAAACCAGACCAGACCAGACCAGACCAGGCTGGTAAACACTGGGCACAGTGAAGTTTAGAGTCTGTCAAACATTCCCATGTTAAACTCTAATCAGTGTTTGTCTGATGGAAGAACAAAACCCCCAAAACATGAACCCTGAACTCTGACCTTTCTTGTCCACAGGAAAGAAGCTTTACCTCCCCTCAGGGATGATACAATGTATATCAATCAATCAATCAATCAATCAATTTTATTTATAAAGCCCAATATCACAAATCACAATTTGCCTCACAGGGCTTTACAGCATACGACATCTCTCTGTCCTTATGACCCTCACAGCTGATCAGGAAAAACTCCCCAATACGCTCTGTCAGTTTAACACAAGGTGAACACAGGTTCAATGTGAAGTCAAGTCACAGGAAATGAAGTTTATCTGAACTGCAAAGCTTCAGACATTCAACAGAGATGCTAAACATTTAAGCCCCTCCCACTGCACAAAGTCTGGCTTTTAGTGGGAAAGGTAACAATCAGCATTCACACCTGGGTCAGATGACTCTGCAGTAGTCATGGATATTCATTGGCTCCGGCTCTGATTGGCAGTGATGTAAACACAACGTGCTAACTTTAGCCCCTTTACCGATGAAATGCACTGCTACACAATACCGTCCATCTCCGTCCAAGCAGCATCAAAACATGGATCCAGATTAGTCTGCACTGAGTTTGAAAGAGAGACGGAATAAGTAAAAGATATAAAAGGAGGAAGTAAACACAGCATCATTTTCATCGGCCTCCATGCTGCTTTCTGTTTTCCATGTTCGTCTGCTGCAGAGCCGCTCTGATCTACTGACAATGCAGCGGAGTCTTTCGCCTATTTCTATTGAGTCGTCCCGTGTTTAAAAATCCTGCGTACATGCTCACTCTTTATTCTCTCCAGGATGTGCCCATGTCACAATCACAACATTTAATGCAAACCCAACCAATTCTGCACGACCTTGCAATTTCTTTGTCCAATCACTCCAACTTTTCCACAAGTTTAACCATTCATTGTAACTTGCTGGAAGTTTTACAAATAACCGCAGTCGCCCGCACAACGTCACCAAACTCACCTGACGATCCAGACATGCTGACGTCCCACATTTACCAACAAAAAATACCTTTAAAGACGGCGCATAACAATCCCCTGATGTTCTGCACAAAGGTAAGGGTAAATTGTTCTGCACCGTGTGCTATGTTGTGATGGGACACAAAGATCGACTGACAAAACACTTTTCCACAAAGACACACCTGGATAGACTACAGACTCAGAAATATGCAGGTTAGTGGTAAACATAGTGTAGTATTATTCACAGACTCAGAAGAGTGTGGTTTTATTCTCACTTGAAGAATTTATCTTTGATTTTTAATCAATTTTACCCACAAAAAAAAGAAATTGCTATTTCAAGCTGCTTCTGCAGTTTCATTGCAAAACAAACGTCCAAAACATCACAACACGCACTGAAATGTTTCAGAAAAGCTGCATGAAATCAGGCAGTTTAGGCTGAAACGCAAAAGAAAAGCCTGGAGGATTTCATCGATTCATCTTCTGGATTCCCTCCAAGATATATCAACATTCTTTTGTCTGTTTATTTTCCTATCAAAAGTGATGCACCAACATTTGTACATATCCCGCGTAATCATGAGCCAGTACAACATGTAAAACCCACGTGTTTGGGAAGGCTGTGATCACGTGAACAATGCACCAATGGGAGTATGAAGCGGTACAGGAAGGAGGAAGGTTGGGGTGGTTGATGGGACTTTACCTGAGGAGACAGGTGTTCAGGACCGTGTGAACGCTGAGTCACTGTAAGGTACATCGTCTCCATGTTTCCTTTAATAGACTTCACAAACGAAACTTTACTTGCCTGAACCTAAAGACACCCAACCATGTTTCCTTTCCTAAACCTGAACTGCGTAACTTTATGATGAGTATTTAACATCATTAGTGGGATGCTAATTCGTAGTATGAGGACACGCTGCAGAGACATGAGACACAACCGTTGACTTGCCTTCATCTGAATGTCCTGTGCCTTCCAGTGAGGACGGAGTCGGCTGAGGAGCTCCAGGATTCCTCTCCGAGGTTCCTGCTCATCAATGAGGAGGTCCACATGGAGAAGCTGGTCACCAGATGACACGCTGTCCATTTTCAGCTCAGCTGATTTAAAGTCTTAAGAAATTTCACCTTCACAAAGTTTCAGGTCCAGAACTTGTCAGAACAGTCCTTCTCTGTCCAGAGACATTAAAACATCCTCCACACGTGGATGAAGGTTTAATCTCTGTCTTGATGATGGCGATAAAATCCACAAGAGGACTCAAAGATCTGCTTTGTCAGAACTATTCCAGAGACATGGCTGGGATCTGCAGGTCACTGAGAGTGTCCACTTGTGTGTCCAGTGACTCAGCAGTCCAGCCTGCTTATCAGGGGACAATGTTCCTTTGGACATCTTCGCCCTGAGTTTACACATTAACCTCTGCCGGTTGGAGCTCTGCAGCAGGTACACGTGGTCATGTCAGCAGCATCTTCTGTTTACATATTCTGAATCAAGCCTTTTCCTGATGAAGACGTGGGATAATGTTGACATCATTCGACCTTTCTTTGGACGTGTTTACAGAATGTGTGTTGTCTTCATGCTTTGTGCACAAACCAGCTTGCCAACAGTTTGTGAGACTGACACAAGAATGTATTTCCAAAAGAAAACAGCCCACAGTTCTGCTGGAAGAACAAAAACACACCTGCTTTTAAACACGATTAAAGACTCAGAGATCCGAAGCTTTAAGGATCTGATCAAATATCACAACGCCAGCCTGACGCAGCTTAAGATTCATTCATACTTGCTTAACATATGAAAACAGATCTGTCCGTTTCAAACATTGTAAATGTCGCTGCCCTCAGACTGCCATGTGTCCTTCATGATGTCATAGATACAGTCAATAGATGGCACTAGAGGGCGGAGTCAACAGGTCGTAATGTTTTACCTTTAAACAGAGGCAGCGTTGTAGGTCTGTGAGGTCATTAAATATATACTGACACGTAGAGGGAGAATTTATTTTTTTTCTGATTTGTTCTTTTCCACCATTATTTAAATCTCTTCATTGTCTCCTACAGTTGTATTTCACTGCCAACGGTTCATCAGTATCCATAGGGCTAATTAATGCTCAGCATTACATATGGAGACAAAGACGGACGGAGCCTTCTGTCTGCACTCTGCGTTCATTTCATCTCTATTTGTGCAAGTTTTCTAAAAGCATAGAGATGCAGATTAAATGGAGCAGAACAACTGGACACCTGGAGCTCATAGAGGCAGCGTGGTGTAGTTCGAGCGAGGTATGACTGTAGGAGGCAACAAAGACTTTTAACAAATGATGGAAAGGAACAAATCGCTAATGAATAGTACATGAAGTGGAAAGAATTCTCCGTCCACGTGTCATGATGTATTTAATGTCCTCACAGACCACAGCTGTCTACAGTAGGGGGACAGATCGATCCCTAAATATCAATACTCTCAATGCAACATTTTCATTTTGAAGATCGATCCTAGCGTCAGTTTGGGCGGCAGTAGCTCAGTCCATAGAGACTTGGCTTGGGAGGTGGAGGGTCACTGGTTCAAGTGCATGTATAGGTCCTGTTTGTGCATGTGTGTGTGTATTTGGGGTGTGTGTGTGTGTGTGTGGGTGTATGTGTGTGTGTATGTATGACAATAGAGTGAAAAGATTGAATTTGGGTCCAATTTGTTTGCTCTGTATATGCTTCCTCTTGGAATCATTATCAGCAGGTTTGAGGGTGTATCATATCATATGTACGCAGATGATATTCAGCTGTATTTTTCCTTTAATCCTGACAGGACCGACAGTCTGAATGTACTGCATGACTGTTTGTCTGCAATTAATGACTGGATGGTCCACAGTTTCCTCCAGCTTAACGCTGCAAAGACCGAGGTCCTTATTGTCGCTCCTGACTGTACTGGTTCTAAGGTGGCTAGCTGTCCCTATTGGGTCCCTGAATTCAAATATCCGCTCTAACCCGAGAAATCTCAGAGTTATTTTTGACCAGGCCTTGATACATCCATGTGTTGACCCGTACATGCTTTTACCACCTTATAAACATTGCAAAACTGAGATCTGTTGTATCACATGCTGAACTGGAAATGATCATTCATGCCTTTGTGTCATCACGTCTGGATTACTGCAACTCTCTTTTCATGTGTCTCATTAAAACTTCTGTAGATCACCTTCAGTTGGTGCAGAATGCCACTGCCAGGCTGTTCACCAAATCACCCAAAAACTGCCACATTACTCCCGTCCTGGCCTCCCTACACTGGCTTCCTGTCAGCTTTAGGATCCAGTTCAAAATCCTTGTTTTAACATATAGAGCCCTTCATGGTCAGGCACCTGAGTATCTGTCTGACCTGCTGCATGTATACGCTCCTAGTAGGACACTTAGGTCTGCCGATCACGGCCTGTTGGCAGTTCCTCACACTAGGCTCAGAACTAGAGGTGACCGGGCCTTTGAGTCCATTGCGCCCAGATTGTGGAATGTCCTCCCACAGGATCTGAGAGCCACAGCATCTGCCGAAGTTTTTAAGAAGCACTTTCTCTACCTGTATAGGCAGGCATTCTTCAACTTGTCTTAAGTGATTTAGTTTTGCAACAACTGCTGCTGTTTCATTTTGTGTCTCTGTATGTTTGGATGTATGTATTCTTGGTTGTATTTAATTAGTTGTGAAGCACTTTGTGAGTTCTCTCTGTGAGAAGTGCTATACAAATACATTTCACTTACTTACTTACTTTAAGTGTCACCTGTTGGCTGTGACGTCATTAAAGACACATGGAAGTATGAGGGCAGTGATGTTTGAAACACACTGATCGGTTTTCATACGTACAGGGAGAATAAATGAGCCTTTGAGTTTCCACAAACTGTGCACAAATACAGTCCAAATGAACACGAGTGTGTCTCTGTATCCAACACTGAGCATAAATGAACTTTACTGGAAACATTGTCTTTTTGGAATAAGGGGAAAAACTCAGAATATTTGAGCATGTGAGCGTCGTTAGTGGGAGAAACAAATGTTGATGTTGAAGCTGTGTGATGAGGCCTGATGATGAAGTGAAGTTTGTGCTTCAGTAAACCTCTTTCACTTTTCTGTACTTACGTATTTAATCATGTATTATGCTCCATCAGAGGCTCAGCTAATGAAAAAATGCCTCCGAAGGGAACTTTACTTTATAATGAAGTGAAACTCAAAATTTACTGAAAGATGTAAATAAGTCCCTGAAAATAAAAAAAATAAAAAAAATTCAACTGCACTTGAAATTACTACTTCATTCAACATTCTTCAAGTGTCCAGTGAATCGCAACACGAGAATAAAAAGCTGCAATTAATTAAATTTTCATTATGGGATGTCTGTAATGCATTCAAACAGACATCAGTCAGCCACAAAGACGTAACACATGAGTCCAAATGGAGCTCAGCGTTTTCTCTCTCCAAACAGAGAGTTCATTTCAGCACAGCTCTGATACTCGCCGCCCCACCGCACTGTTCTGACACGCTGCAAACATCACTGCGGCACAGTCCCACGGGCCGCACCAAGGATTCAGATCTCAGTTTACTTTACTGAACTCAATTCAAGCTCCAAAGTGAACACAGCACAGAAATCAGGCCGAACGAGAGGACTCTGAGATGCTGTAAATAATTTTCAGATGCATTTCATTTGGCTGCAGCAGCAAAGACTTGAAATGGGTGGAGTCTATTGTCTGAGCGGAGTCGGCATGTAATCTGCAGGAACCATTTAAATATCATAGAGTGAGTTCATTCAAACATGACCTTTCATGCTCGCTCAATGCCATGGAACATTTCACCAGGATCACTGTGTAAACACTAAATGAATCTCATAAACATTGGAGCAGCATGTTTTCAGCCTGTTAAATTATTTAGATGTTGGGCCAATGTTTACCATTTTGCATCATTACAGTAATTGCCTAGAAGTCACGAATGTGGTGATCGTCTTGAACCGAATACTTTGCAAGCTTTTAGACGAAAATGAAATTCACTTGCCATCAAAGAGCGTCTCATCATCAAAGATGTTGTGTATTGAAAGAGAGATGAGTGTCTCGATTAAAAATGTAAGGGTCAGGCGGTAGAATGGAGTAGTGGAGTCAGTGTTTGTGTTAGTGCATGTACCTCTCAAGTACAGCTGAACGAGAGGGCTCGTTGAAAAAGAGATGACACACACAATGAGCCAGGCATCCATACATACACTGTTCTGACACTTTTCAGACAGATTCACTTACTGTATGTCTGGCTCCTCTTTCTCTGCTCTTCGTCCTCATTGTTCACACCAAGAATGAAGACATTAACATTTGGGCCTTTGAGCCTTGAAAATTAATCATTTATGAAAGGATCAACAAAGTACCAGTTGTGTTGAAGACAGCATGAAAGAGTATCAAAACTGAGTTAATGTTGCTGGAGTTTCGCTTGACTTCTTGACATTATCTCGACTATGAGTCTTTTTCACGCGACTCATTAAAGCACTGGAAGCAGGAGCTGCGTCTATTCAGCAGAACGAGGAAATCAAATGAGTGGAGGCAGAATAGAGGAGCAGAGGATTTCATTATTTACAGAATATATTTTGTTGCTGATAAAGGATCATGTGTCCTCACTTTCCTTCTTATGGAAACAGCTACAAAGCTTTCTAAGATTTCTGGATAAAGAATCGATTCATTCTGAACTGTAGATGTGGACCTCATGCTTTTATTCTGGAGGAAGAGTCAGTGTGAATCATCCTCTGCGCACAAAATGTTACGGCCATCCATCCAATAACTGCTGAGATATTTCACTGACAAGGTAAAACTCTGACCTGCTGACAGGGCCGGACGTAAAACATCCAGCACCCTGTAGGTGAGCTTCTTCTGGCACCGGAGGAGGTGTCATTACAGCCCGACCGTCAGCATTAGATCTGTGGATCAGTTTGGTCAACTTTTCTGAATGTCAAAAAAAACAGGGGCTGCAATTGACCTATGGCTAAGCCACGCCCCCCTCCACTCATTCAGTGCCCGGCGCTATGGCAGGTGTCACAGTACACGGCATTTCACAGGAGGCAACTGATGATTTTTGGAGACATAACGATCAGATGCCATTGAGAAGTAACCAAAAGGGCCTAAACTACGCATTGGAGGGATATATTCATCATTTTATTGTTGAGAAGGTCGATGAAAAGCTTAAATTACAAGCCAAAATTTACAGGTCACAGTGTACGCTTGTGAACCGCATCTGGTTGCCGTCACCATCAAAGACAACAAGTTAAAGTGCCACTGAAGTTAAGGTTTTTGGCTCAGAATATGAGAAAAGGATAACGGCCTTTTTACCATCTTTACCAAGAGTGTCTCTC